ATGTTGAGTACAAAAATTATTAAAACGTGCAAAGTATGAAGTTTATTCTGAAATATCTGTATTTTCCTGTGCGCGGTGCGCAGATTGTCGGTCGAGCCATGCCGCGCACGAACAAAACTTGGGTTTAAAAATCGACCCTTTCATGTGGATTTTACGCGCTGCGCGGCTAGTGTGTACGTCTTTTGGCCGCGCAAACCCTGCGATTTTGCACAGGCCTGTAGCCGGATTTAGAATGATGAATTACCTTTATTCGAACCATCATGTTCAGATGACCCTGGCTGTACTGTTCGATCACGTCGCGGACGTCGTACGGTTTTCGCGCCTGCTGGAATTTTCTCCTCGCCACGAAGTATTTGATCTTCCTGATAGCCCTTATGGCGTTCCGATGGGTTTCGGTTAATCTGAAAAACGCAACAAGCCGTCTCTCGACAGAATTTCTCTACCACACACGTTTTTTTATAATTCAATATCCATTCTCTATGCATTATAAACCCCGTCTGTCTGTCATTCATTTTTATAACCTGTCTGTCCGTAATTTATTCAAAACGTGAAATTGAATTTGGTTCACAAATAGTACAAAGGCGATTGTGGAATATTTTACAGATTTTACATATTCTACAGACTTTAATATAACAGAGGTGCGTCGAAACAAGGATTAAATGATTAAAAAGTGAATGGCTATGATTTTCCAGTTTCACTCTGAAAAATATTTTATACATTACATTCTTTTATTCATATGTACATCAGGCTAATGCCATTAGCTTTTATAAATTCGAGATTGATATGAAAAAGTAATGCAATTTTAACAGGCAAACTATTAAAACGCGTTGTAATTGATGATTGATTTTATTCAATAAATCAATTCGTTATTAAAAATAATTGTATTCGTGTGTGAATATATTTTTTTAAAATCGCTGGAGTATGTTTGGACACGTGGGTACCATTTCGAGAAGGATTCTTGATGAAACTAGTCGTAGAACGGAACTTTTATCGTGAGTAAAGATACACCGATCCGCGTGGCTGATAGACGCAGTAAGTGGGACCGGGATTTTTCGTACTCCATCAGAAGAGGATTCGCGTCACTTCATCGTATCTCAAGGACGATAAGTATCTACCGTTCGATACTCTGACTGTAACGAGTAATTTGACATCTCTCGCGTTCAACAATTTTGCCGAATGGTTGTTTTCAACAGATTAATAATAAAAATATTAAGAATATTAGAAATTATATAAGAATATTAATTATTAAAATATATTAATATTAATAATATTAATAACCAATAATTATTAAAATATATTAATATTAATAATTAATAACGAACTGAGAGTGAGGCCTGAATCGACTACGGGCGGGGTGGAAAGAATTGACGAGAGATGAGAGACTGTATGTACATCTAAGCTGCATTTGTGACGTGCACGTGTCTACACTGAATCTGCGGTCGGATTCATGAGAGAAATTGAAGTGACTCGACGAAAACGGTATTCTAATCAGCGCCGCTGGGCTACTTTCAACAAACGATTTTACATCCCATCGCGGGAAGCTGTTGCCTCGCGAGAACGGAAGAAGGGAAAATTAAAAGGAAAAAGGGACGCAAAGGAACAGAGGACACGTTAAACGCGTGAGACGAGCGCGTCACGAAAGTCGGCGAAGAAAGAAAGGGGGGGGGGAAGAGGAAATAAAGAGAGAAAAGGGTAGACTCGCGTTCTTTGTGTCGAAACTGTTCGAGTATCAGTTTTTCCAAAGAATGTAGGCCGCCCGCGGAGCGAAGTAATGGCAGCGGTGGAAAAAGCACTTACACGCCGTGCTTTTCGGAGTTGGTTCAGAGGGGGAGGGAAAAAAAATAAAGAGACAGCGACGGGGGTGAGACGTGGGAGGAAGCTGGAAATCCTTTCACGGGAGCCGCCGCGAGGTAACGCGGCTCTTTCCAGAAACGTTAATACCGTCGTTCTTCTGTTTGTCTCCTCATGATCGTTCACTGGCAATGAAACTTGACTTTCAATGCGTCCCACGATGATCATCAAACTTACGAATTTAAACGTAATTCTTCGTCGTATAGACGACATTACCAAGTGGCAGATTTTCGTACTTTTGCCGGAGAGAAAAATGTGTTAAACAAAAGATGTAGGGTTTTAGAGACTGAGGACAGTCAACGTCGGCCTCGGACCTGGGTCATGGTTCTTCAGATATATCACGGTTAGCTCAGTTTTCCTAAATTGGAACCCGTCACCTACTTCTGGCCCTTATCGATTTTTCGATTCATCACACATAATTTTACAAAAGACTCGCACAGAGTGTCTCAAAAGTCCATGAATAGCACGTATTTTAATCGATTAACAAATCACTAAATTCGCATAAGAGATTCGCATAATTTCCGTGGACGTTGAGATAAAACTTACGTGGTGACTCTCGGCGGATCCTCCATATCGATGTCGTTCTCGTCGCTGGTAGCCTCGGTGACGGAGCTCGTCTGCGAGGTGAACAGGCTTCCCCTGCCAATCGGAAATACGCTACTCACACTAACAAACTCGACGACTAGTTCCGCGTGACGGTTCGAAGCCGCTTCAGAGAAAGTGCCCTTCAGCCGACTGACAGTTCCCGCTGTGCCAAACTTTACCCCCGCCACCCGTTATTTTCTAAACATCTCGTCCGCCCACGCATGTTTTAACGGGGCCTGACGTCGAAATCGATATCTCTCCTCTATACATAAATCCAAATAATTATACATGCCATTTTTTACAAGCATTTATAAACAATTTTTACATAATTTCACGTCATTCGACTTCCGGGCATTTCTCTGAAGCGTAATTAGATATTATCTTCAATGCAGACACTTAGGCAGCTATCACAATAATATTTCTAATTACCACTTGAATCTACTCGTTGTTACAAAAGCAGAAATAATAAGACACTCGCGAGAGATTGATCGGAGTGAAACATCTGCTCGGGCAAAAGTATGCTGTTCAAAGTTGAATTTAAATTACGTACAGATGGGCTCGCGGTATCTGGTTATTCGGCCGTTCAATTCCTATTATCGGAGCATGGAAATAATTGGGGGAGCAGAGGGTTTGGTAAACTTCCATTTTCTCTACCCGCGGCACGGCTCATTATCCGAAGTATCTCGTTCGAATTCTTCGAGTTCCATTGTAAATCGAGTTTGTCCGGTTTCATTTGGAATTCGAGTATAAATTAAATTTTTTACCCCCCCCCCTCCCTCGGTCACGTCCCTCGCGCAGGTATGCTCGAATATTTGTTTAAAAACAGACCGGATGTAAGGATCGTTTTAAAACCGAGCGTTGAAAGCATACGTTTTATTACTTATGCGATCTGATAAGAGCAATAAATCAAACGGCCAATGAATATTCAGCTGCGACTGCTGTCTATTTTTACGCCCCTTTAACCCGTCACGGTCACGCCTCCAAATAATTACGGAAAGGTCAGAGGCCAAGCAATCGTTTACGTAAAGATATGCAGCGAAGTTCGAGTTTTCCATTCACGAATCACTCCAAGTCTCTACATGTTTAAAGAACAGAACGAGAATCCGACGACCGTTCCTTACATTTTAATCATTCATTTATTTATTATTTAAGTATCGAATGAATTAATATTTATATAGGAACGTGTATGTATTTACAACGTGGAATTAATCGTGAGGTAATAATGGAACGATTTTTGTCACACGGGGAGGTCGCTGTCCCTCAGACGTGCCAAAATTCTTTGATCCACGTGGCATGCATACGTGCAACAATTGAATATTCCTAAATGCAAGGAGCAGACCTATTCGTTACGCGATACAAACGGAAGATGTAATCTCCCGTCGACGATCCGACGAATGAAGACGCGAGGGACGACTATTTTACGACAGCTACGAACGAAACCGAAGAATCGATAGAACCGCGGGACTCACCGGTTGTCGCGCCTGACGCGATTAGGCGTGCCCGCTTTCGGTTCCTCCATGTAGAAGATAATGTCACCCTGGTTGTCCATCCGCTGGTTCTCGTTCTGGCCTCCGGCATCGCCGCCGCTGGATATGCCACCGGATATCGTCACCGGCGGCTGCGACTGCTGCTGCTGCTGCTGTTGGACGTCCATCCGGTTCCGCGACTTCCGCCTCTTCAGTACGCTCGCCTTCTTTGCCACCTGGATCATCAGAGACTGAACCCCCGGTGCCCTCCCATTACAACACACGTCGAACACAACATGCACTATCCCTACTAGCGAGCACCGTGGCGGCTCGGAGTACCGAGAACCATCATCGCTCCATCTGAAAAGCCTCCCCTAGTATCATGGCTGACCACCGATGACGCGACGTCCCCCGAATTCGGTCGAGAATCTACGCTCGCCTTCGCGAATTCACGCATTTTTTTTTTAGAAATTATGTATTTAATCGATCCTCCTTTCTTATGTCAGTCAGTCAAAAACCTGATGTAAATTAGTTCTAAATATTCTCCATTCATCTGGAGAATATTTTCAAATTAATTCTGATTATGATATGAATAATTAATTTTGAAATGAAATGAAATGAAATAAAAAGAAAATGGAAGAATAGATTGTTTAGATATTAAAAAATATGCACTTCTTCTAGCTTGTCTTTTAATTCGATTTTTAAAAAGAATATATTTAAAAATGCATTAACATGTAAACATGAGAGAGTCATAATATAAATATTAATTAGAATGACTATCATTACAACGAATAGAGTCTGTGGAAAATTTATGCAACTGCAAGCCTTGAAAGAACCACTCTAACCGTTACCTGTAATCACTTGATTATCTTTAATAATAAATGTACATACTGTATCGGCTAATCCGATTCTAACGGCCCATTCAATTTCAGTTTCAATCAGATTCTATGGCTCGTGCGATTCTATCCGAAGTTCAGCAGAAATCATTAGTACACGACGATGACAGCGCATTGATAGCGTATCAGACTCTTGATGAAATTTCAATACCGGCTATATTGCGGGAACGCTCTGTTCCAAAACGATCTGACACGTGCCTCTAGACACGATTTTCAAAATTAAACAAATTCCGAAGATATTTATAAATCATCTTAAAAAGAGACATCAATTAACTGAATACCAAGAATGAATCTCACGTTGTTTCATGATTTTATAAAAAGACACAGAAATTCATTTATAAACTAATACTAAATCGGGTTAAATAAAACTGATAAATCGACATTAACTTGAACTACCTCGCTCGGAACCAGTAGTCGTTATTTATAGAACATCCGACATAAGTACCACCGAAAATTTCGAGAGCGAACAGCGAGGGAGCCCGCATAATCATCAGAATTTAATTATCAAAAAGCCAGGATCTCGTTTGAATTATCTATGGTCCCACGAAATTTGATTGCACCATCTGGCAACTTGGCTCGAGTATAAAAAGGTCTTGGAAAAACGTGGAATTGTTTACCGTACGGTATAATAAAACAAGATAGCCGGGCCATGATGATGAATCTGTTTCCTCTACCTGGTCCCCCGGTTCTCTCTCTCCCCCCCCTTCCACCCCCCCCGATTCCTGTTTGAGTTTATCGAATTTCTTCCGGACATACGGAGCTGAACCACCCCCGGGCCAGGAGCCGGCAACCTCGGCTCCCGGCGAGGGTTACGACGAAAAACGAAATGAGTTTACGCGCGCGAATAACGAAACTGGGTCACAGCGACGGTTTTCAAACGTACGTTCGGAGATTGGCCAACGTAAACACCGCATTAACGTGCAGCAGCTAGACGTTTAAAAGAGGCTTTCAAAGACCCTCTATCGGGCTAAATAAAATGAGAATTCTCCGTTCTGATTGGCCGCTGTCATGAATTTTTCTTCATATTAGGACCAGTTAAAAATACATGCGATTTACTCCTAATGAGAAATTTTTTAAAATGCAAAATATTTTCAATGAAGGAGAATTATTCTTTTATCAATATTAATATAAATAATTCTAATTGCATTAATCGAGTTCTAACGATTTCATTCCCTCGTTTATTCTATTACGCAGAACTTAAAACTCTGTTTTACGAAGACAATTCGTTTCTACTCCGTCGCGTTTGCATCGAGACTCGAAAGGCGGAAGGAAAATGTAGAAGAGAATTTTTAACGGCGCGGCGATTCTCAGCCGGCGAGCATAAATTCTCGTTCCCTTCGTACGTCATCGCGTTCGTCCCTCTTGCTTGCAGGCTGATGCGAAAATAAAACAGCGACACGTACGGCACAGACCGACTCGCGAAAGCATTCCAACGTATCGCATGCAGAAAATCTTTTATGAACAACATGTACGTGTTGTGCAAAATTTTTCAGATTTCGGTAATGAGACGTCGTTAGGCTAACGAGTGTCGAGATGAGATAATGTATTTTGTTTCTTTGAAATCGTAAAAGTATTTAACAGCAAACATTTGATATTGTGTTCAGATTTCTCTTTATATCATGAATAATTATAAGAATTATGAGGAGAGAATTAATAGAATCTGAACATCGTATTTA